TTACTGCTTCCATTGTGGAGCTACTTCGCGAGACCCCACTCGACCCACTGTGACGGATTCCTCCTATATACGCGAATAGGAGATTAAAAAGACGTCTGTTTCGAGCATTGATGCGATAATTGTTTCCACCAGTAGCTGAAGAGACTGGTTAAAACTGGTTTATAAATGGCAGGTGTATATAGAAGATAATCGTAATAAAACCGCTTAATCGAAGCAAGATCGTCTCATAGCTTCATCGCACCTTTACCAGGTGTTCGTTTTAGTCCTCGTTTCCTGCTAATTCAATCCGAAACGGTGATTTATCCTGGCGGGACGCCTCGGAATCGTCCTCGACGTCCGAACAACCGGTTGAAACGAGCGCCCTCCCGCGGCGACGAGTCGCTCCGTCCCCGATCTCATTAATTCGAAATTTAATTTGGCGCTTTCGTACGCAAAGGCAACGAAAGATCGCTTAATATTCCCGTCCGGCCCTGGATTGGCGGGATTCGGATTTGATTCGGTCGCCAGACCAATTCCGCGATCGGCATACAAATGTTATCTGCACCTACAGATGTCGCTGCCGGATCGATTATACCAATTATTAGCGATCCTTCGTATTTTCGTAATAAACTTTTTTCTAACGACGTTAATGAGCTCGCTTTCAAAATCTAATCTCTTAAGCCTCTTTTGGAAAAATACGGCGACACAAAGGAATGGAAGCGGACGCGTTCCTTTTGTTCGCGTTGTTTCTTTGTTGCAAGACCTCACATATCACAGTTCACTATATGGCAGGAGAAAAAACTTTTTAGGAAACCTATAATTCACGGGCGTCTTTTGTGCGGGCGTTCAGGAGGATTAACGTTTCAACCAGATTATCACTAAAAATGATGTATAATTTAAACTTCGAAGTCTCCAAAATAGGCTAAAATCTGGCGAAGGGGTCAGGCGATATCGCTCTCCAACGTAGAGCGCGTAATTTTTTTCCCAATAAAATTTACATCTGTTTAATCCGTTGAAAAGCCCGCACAGAAGAGGATTTCCGCATTGAATGCTGTTTTCGGCATTACAGCAAGGTATTAAACAGATTATTATGAGTTATGGTCTTAACTATTTAATAACGTGATGGAGGGGTCAAACCGCCGCGCGCAAGGATTAATAACATTAAATTCGCAATGCAAACCGGCCATTCGGACCGATTATTCGAGCAAAAATGAATTAAACCGAAGCTCGCCGGTCCTCCGAATGCGGCAAAGCTAAATATTTGATAATTATGAAATGGATACGGGCAAAGCGCGAAATTACCCCAAGGTGCATTATATGGACTCACAATGTTATTATAAAACTCGTAAAAGTTACATTAAAAGAATTTACGCTGGATACGGTTACCTATTTTGTTAAAAGGAATTTGAGTAATGGCCTGCAGGAAGAGAGGAATAATATAAACGCTTTTATAACGGCATTAACGGCTTGTATGTAAGAAAAATTACAGTCTTTTAAATGCTAGATGATATTGGAAAATTGAATGCATTTCCTGGCAATTTTGCATAAAATAAACAAGCCATTTATTCAGTTTCTATTACAAGAATCAACACTAAACTAAACAAGTTGAAACAATGCACAATGTACAAATGTCACGAAAGCTAAAATATATTTTGTATATTTTGCCTGACTCCTTCCATTCTATTTGCATTCAAAGGATTAAGATGCAAAACGTTAATTGCCAAACGTCAATTAGGCGATAAAAGGTGAGCTATATAGAGATATAATCTCATGTAATTAGAAACTAAATAGTCTTTGCCTTTTTCGAACGTCTTTCTTTCACGAATTTTGCTTAATTTATACCTTCATTACGTCGAAAAAGAGGAAATTTAGTAGAGAACAAGTTTCGTAGATAACCGACTTAAAAGATTTATACCTTTTAAAAATACGTTCCCAAATTTATGCGATTATTTTCGACGTCTAATTTGCCATGAGGCTCGTCAGCAGAAGAGCGTTGACAACCCAGTGGAGTGAAGTAATTTTCAATCAGATCCCGATGAAATTAATTCAACTTCAGAAGTTTGACAATCGAGCGAGATTTCAATCTAACTTGACCCGTACAACAGCAGTTGGGTTTAAACGAATTTTCTGATGGCGTGGTTGGGCCAAATTTTCACATTACGCGCGAAAAGATTTACATTTAGAGAAAATTTAAACTATATCGATCAAACTGCTGAAAAGTTTCTATTTCATTTTTGCAATGCAATTAGTACTCATCGGGTAGATACACCGAATTTGTGTGCGTACAAATTCAAATTCGCCGGAAACTTTCTTAAAGCAACAACTCTCGATTAATCTTTAAAATTTCAGAAGTTGTTAAATTGAGTTCTTTATATTTCGGAGAGTTGGTAATTTATCTTCCTTTGTATATTAATTTTAAACTTGCATATCTCTCCGAGGTCTGTATCAAGACCCCGTCGTTAGTCAACATTCACAATTAAGATAAAAGTAACAAGGGAAAAATAAACGAGAAACTCTCTCGTACATAATTAACACAAAAAAAAACCAGAAAGAAATTCTCATTCGAAATTAAGGATTTGTTGATAATGTTGTTAGAAACTTCTGCCTAATTACTAATTTTCTTCCTCTGTATACCTTTCTTCGAAATGACGAAAACTCGTTATGGCTTAAAGCGAAAATAACTAATAAAATTTCATTTTCAACGAAACTTTATTAAACACAACCTGGAATTCTAGGAAACGCCAGAGCATGCTAATAATAATTCGAAAACTACAGTAACCAAGCTCAATTTTCTTAATATCACTTTCGCGAACTTGATAAACACCCAGGTGCTATAAAAATATTTATTCATTAAACTTAACCGAATTATAGCAAAAATCTGCATTATTATTTTAACGACAATTAAATATTTCTATTACTCCTCTACTCAGAAAACTAATCACGAGCAAAAATAACGAAATATCGGAACTCGTCAGCTCTTTTCGTGTCTCAAGCAATATCTGAAGCCAATCAAATAGTCCGTAATAAAGTTTTACTTAAATTCTTAACGGTAAACAAAAGTATCGAAGGAAATATACTTATAAGTTCCCGAAGACGGGATTAAAGGAGTATTAGATACCCGCGGAAATGCGAAACGTCGTATTGGACAAAGAAAGTTCTCGAGTGAAATGTTCCGGTCGAATAATTCCGGACGAAAGTCGAAAATAATAAAAAAAATAGGCGAGAATTGTCAATCTACCATGAATTGTGTGCGAGACTAATTATTATAGATTCGTGTAAATATTCGTAATTTTATCTGAAATCTAACCTTCAACTTCCATTACCATAATAAGTATAAATAATAGCAGCAGTAAAGTTTCGTTATATATCCAGCAGCATATCCAATAAATATCAGTCTAATTTTACGAGAAGCTCCGTTTATTTCGGTGTAATATCTCAGGTCAGGTATACATTCTTTAAATTTCCGGGCGCGCTTTAAAGGAAGCCGGAAGTCCTTAATAACGAAGAAACTCCCCGAACACGTGTAAAAGTAGTTCCCGTCCAACCCTAAATCCGCAATATTCTTCTTTACTTTCGGATAATAAACATCTAAACACGTAAACCGAGACAATTCCCCGGGGACAACTTTTGGCGGAGGTTATACGGCGAAAGTGCGAGAGATCTCCGAGAAGTTCGGGCATCGGACGGGACGCGTTGCCAGAATTACAACTCGCGCCCGGAGAAGTTGGGTCGACTTGGGCGGCTCTCTTTCTTTCCCCGTCGTTAGCGAAACCAGAACTTTCGACCTGCTGGGTTCTCCTTGAATTATAAATATGCGGGCCGTGATTTTTTGCAGGTTCTTTTTTTTTGATTAAAGAGTCGAATTCAAAATAAGTTTTACGAATTTTCTTCGCGGAAAGTTCCCGTTAAATGTCCTATTGATTAGGGCACCGGGAAGTTTATTTAATGATATGTCGCCTGAATAGCAATTGGCATGAAAAATTTAATTGGACGTGAAAATTTGCTTTGTTAAATAAACTGAGTTTAATTAAATTAGCGTTATTTCTACCTTAAGAATTCGCACTTTTTACAAGAATATATCCAATCTTCTGATGTAATTCTAATTATAAACGTGACACTAGACATTTTTTTCAATTATTGTAAAATATTGTAAGAGCTTTATCCACTTTTCCAATCGAAATATACCAATCGGTTCGATTTCCCGTCTTCTATTGATCCTGTCGAACGTCCCGAGGATTTTTCCTTTCAATTTCGCCAGGGCTCCATACACATTTCCCATCCTCATCCTAATAATATCTCTTTAGTTCGATGAGGAAAAAAAAACGACAAAGATTTACACGCGTCGAGTTAGAGAAAACGTTCGCCTTGTCTACCCGCTGTGTCGCTTCAATTTTCGAATGAATCGGTTTTTCCTCTCCTCTTATCTGCCCTCCTTCTGCACTGGCGCGTTTTTAGGAATCGCGCGAGCAGGGAGCGCCGCGACGGGCGAGCGAAAAGCGCACCGACGACGGTTAGGGGTTGATAGGGAGCGCCGGGGATTCCGGAAAAGTCTGGTTTTCGCATTGTCTAAGTCTAGTGCTTTCGCAATTATTTCGGCGAGGGTGTTTTATGGAAGATAACTCGAGCTAGTCAAGTAAATTGTGTTTATACGCAAGGTCTATGTGGGGTATAATAGCGAATGATGTATATAAGAAAATAAATTCTTTTTGGAGAAATGTTGCATCGAGTTTGTAGACATTTTATAACGATGAAGTTGGGTATTTTTCTGCGTTACGTCGCAAATTTGCAATTCATTACAATTCCTTGTTTGCGTTGGAAACAAAGACAATAGCATTCCGTTGTCGACCCTACTGTAATAAATTTCCCACCCATTTATATATGTGCTTGATTGTAAGTTGGAGGCGTTATCAAGAAACCGACGTCGCTGCCATTATAAATCTCACAGATACAGTAACGCTAATTTAAGCGAAACGGGTGAATTTTCGCTCTGCACAAATAAACTCTACACAAAAATCGCTTACCCGTAACGACGACTTGGATCGACATCGCGTTCCTCAAGGTATCCAGTCTCTTCGTCGCCTCCTTAGTGGGCGCCACACACCGGTACTCGCCGCCCTCCTGGTAAATAACACTGTCCAGTCTTAGCTCCTGCGAAGCACCCAAGGGCTCCAGCATACCAGTCGCCGGTTCCACCCTCGTCCAACAACCAGAAGTACCTGAAGGGAATTTTAAAATAGCAATTTGAATGCTCCAGCAAAGTGAGTAATTTAATAAAAATTGTTCGTTGTAATATTACATAATTCACCAGCAGATATTACCGAGAACGGTATCGAACTTATCTATTTAAAAGTTCCTTATTTAGTATCCTTTTTAAAAAACCTATCAGTTTTTACGACGAGATCTAAAAATAATCGTTTGGTTCTATCTGAAGCGTTATGCGGATGGGTAAAAAAGTAAATAACTCGTGGAAAATTCGGATTCGCCGGTGCTCTAGCGTAGAGGTAAGGACGGTAGCCGGTGTGCATATATAAAGTAATTTCCGTGCCCTCGTCAAACTCAATTAGCGATTCCCGAACTTCGACTTTGGAAATTCGCCTTCGGAACCAATCCGGGGCGCTTCCGAGTTAATAACGTTAGGGGACTTAAGTTTCGGGGATGAGTTATTGTAGTATCAATATTTAATCTATCAATCCATTTCGGGCGATTTTCGCGGAAGAGTAACCGGAAACTGTTTAATTGATTCCGGTGTATCGGCGGTGACGTTGAAGGACTTGTCACTTCGATCGGCATTATGTTGTATCGCCGATGAGAAGTTGTTACTCACATTAAATTAACTCCGGAACGATTTTTGGTATAAACTTCGTCCAGTGTAGTAGGAAGGTTAAATATATTAGCTGAAAATTTCTTAATCGAAGAAAATTCGGCGGCCGGGCGCAAAGCCGGAAAATTGTAAATCAAGCTACGTCAACTGCAGCTCTCGTCCCTTTCGGAAAACGAATATAATAAAATATTTTTATTTTCCCGATGGGGTGCACTGAGATTTTGCTTCCGATGCAAATGCAGTAAAACTTTGTTGGAATGTCACGATAAATGGAATTTATTCGGTATTGTGAATACAGTCGGGACGATGGAATTTCGGGCGTTTTGTCGTCGACTAGAAAAGTTGGGGCGAAATATTATCGGAAAATTGTTCTTTTCAAAAAAAAAATAATTTTGAAAATTCATCGGAATAAAAAAAGTGTACTTTTATTAGGATGTTTCACAAGTAGGGTATAGCGCAACTTTACACATATCTCAAATCATCACGCCGTGAACGAATTCCGAACAAATAAAAAAGTAAGAAACAGAACGATATGTATAAAATAAAATTTACGACCTTATTCGAACGTCCGCATAAATCTTCTCTTACACACACCATTTCCCGAAACTTTTAACTACCTACCTCAAAAAATGCCAAACAATCCTCCCAACAATTGTTTCGCGGATATTTTCTTTTTAGCTTTTTCCTCTAGGAAATAACCCTAATCGAATTGTTCCTAGTTTCCTAGAGCTTTCTGCTGTTATTGTTGTCCCGGGGCCCGTCGAATAGCCGCCTCCGGCAAACTCCCGGGGATGTTTTGCATACTGATTAAGAGCCGATATTGGGGAACAGCCAGCCGAAAACGAGAAGAGCCGATAAGATAAGAGTTGATTTGTCACGAACAAGTCGATTCGCATACAGCTGTAGAAAGTTATCTACCTTACCTTATCCGAACGACAACAACGATTATGGTAAATTCTTCGAGGGGGAGGCCGGAATGAATTTTTTTTAATTAAAATTGTCGTCTCCAATTACCGTTTTAATTGCGTTATCGTTTCGAATTAAGCAGGCAGTTTTGCGTGCCGAAACTCCCGAGTAGGAAGGAAACGTTATAGAAAATATACACAAATAAAATTTCTTACAAGTTAAAAGTTAAAACCAGCAATTTGGTAAGATCAGAACAACAGTATCGTTTGTAATTCTCGGCTCGGCATCAATCACTTTAGACAATCAATCACGTGCCGGAAACTTAGCCATCCCTTAAAGCAACTAACTATAAAGGGACGTGTCCCGGCGACTCACCCCTTTCGGCCGATATATACGGTAACGAAACGAGTTTTAGTTAAGAAAGTTTTACCTGGAGGACAGGCTAGCTGGACGGCTCCTCCTAGGGAAACTTCTAATTGCTTCCCCGTGGAACTGAGCTCCCCGACGTCGAAGTCCGGCTCCTGGGTAACATCCGTGTCGTCTGCCGACAGTATGAAACAAAAACAATTAGAGACGACGACGGCGTGTAAACGAGCTGTTTATTGGACGGGCATTTTTTTGCCCCGGTTGAAGGAAGTTCCGTTCGGCTCGGAGCGTAAGTGAAAATAGGGAGGAAAAAGGGCTGCAGAGAACGCGGAATATTGGATGGAAAAACGACAAATCAAAGTTTTCTTGTTGCTGATCATTAGGAGCGGAAAATAACGGAAATTGGATAAGGATTCTAACAAGAACTATAAAAACTGAAATTTGTTCAATTTAAATCCACTATGGCAGCTACTTTTTATTTATAATATCTGGTTTATAACCAATAAAAATTTCTCATATTACAATTCCGTTTAAGGTTCGCGTTATATTCGCATTTTTTTTGTTCCTTATCGTTCCATCTTTATTCTATCATAAATTTTATGCGCCTTGTCATATAATAAATTTCCAGTTTAATTGGATTTTCCAAGTGTCTTTCCAGGGACTTCATAAATTTAATTTGAGGAAAAAAAATAACAGGAAAGAGGAAAGTCTTTGAAGAATAAAATTCGACCGTGAATTATGGTCCCGATTTTAATGAATTTTATTCTCTCGAATTTTTAATTTCAAAATATGGCAGATACTTGTTTTATTTTCCAATACCGTCCGAAATATTAGCGAAGCCCGTTTCGACACTCGTCGCCATTAATAGTGGCGGAAAATCATCGGGAAATTCGACCGAACTCGGTAATAAGCATCATTAGTCGAACGAGCGGCGGGCGTGAAAAGAGAAAAGTAATAAAATTTTCGTCGGCCGACCTCGTAATTAACCGATGTCTGGAGCTGACGCTCTAACTCATTTCGCACAAAACTTCTCCCAACTAATCCACTAAATCCACTCGCCGCAACTATTTATAAAGGAAGAGGGGAACGAGTTCGGGAAAAGGGGACGCCATCGAGTCGATTATGGGGTTGTAACGTTCTAAAATCTCCCTACAATAATCATTAATTCCATTACACATTTTAAATTCACTAATTGATTGTATTAAAGATTTGTTTACCTTTTGGAATAACTAGGGTTAATGATTCTACGAGTACGTTCGTTTGTCCAACAATAAATTCTTCTGTTTATTGTTATTGACATTTGTCTTTGTGTTCTTGACGAGTTAGTGTTCTGAGTAATTGACACTTCTAAAGGGTTATTTAGGTTGTTCCGTGGTTCCGCTGGTTCCATTTTGATTTTGGTCTTTGAGGCAGACAGACTCGTGGTATTACATTTTTAGTAATCGGGAAACATCTCGGATTTTCTACGGTCTGTCTGAATATATTTAACTTCGTTAGTTGTTTGGAGCCTTGTGCTATTTGATTTGCCGTATATTTTTGGCGTTAACGTGAGTTAAATCCGTTATTCGGGATCTATATCCTCTTGACCAAATCAACCACGTTTCGATCCCCGACTTAGAACACTAGGGGTAAGTCTTGTCTTCCTTCCTGTTGCAATCATTAATTGTGTGTTTCTTAGGATTAATTTTGATTACTACTATTACTTTGGGTTGAATTTTCCAATCCGTATTTTCTTGGATCTTCCGTGAGGTTATTTGTATTTAACTGTCTTCCGATTGGACTGGGACCGATTCCTGCGTCACTTTGACCGCCTGTAGTTGCGACCGATAGTTGATTCGACAAAGTTCACCTGTTGTCCCGAGTATCTGGACTCTTATGTGATACCCAGACCGTCACCAGGAACCTTGGGAACTTCACCACGTGGGATCCGTCCGCCATTTTCGGAGAAGTTTTATTATAATTATTTATTTAAATTTAATTCATCGTAGTTCAATTTCTTTCATTTTTCTTATTGTTAAATTCATCTTCACGTATAGTATCAATTTGATTATCGTTAAATTCTAATTCAGTACGATAGTTAATTAATTTTCTTTTGTTAATAACGAAAATTCGACTCGCCTTTACCGTTTTGTAATTACTCTGTGAATTATAGATATTCCTTTGGATCTGGACCCCAACTGATCGATCAATTGGAGGATCCAGCCGTATCGCCATAGTATATTGACTTCGCAGAACTTCGTTTTACTTTGAACCATCCGGTTGACCGGATCACCATCGGTAAGTCGAATTTGATTTATACCGTGTCTGCTATCTCGTACTGTTTGGAATTTCTTAATAATTATCTTTCTATTTCTTAATTTTCTCTCAATTTTTTTTTTTTGTATTGTATTCTATTATTTCTTTCGCTATTGTATTAAATTAAATACCTATAGAGTTACGAAAAGTGTGTACTATCAATTCCTTGTTAAGTTGGGAGTTGATATAAGATTATATTGTTAAGGGCACTTGGTCAACTTAACTGGCGCCCGTTTTATTTTTAAATATCATTTAATTTTGACTCACTCCCGTCTCATCTGAGAATAGTCGCGTGCCCGGATGTTCAAGTCATCCACCTAAGTAACAAAAATATATATTTACCGTTTTATTTTTGTAGTTTTATTAAAGGGGTAAAATTTTAACGTTACATTTTGGCGCCCAACGTGGGGCGAAATGCGAAAGAAATAAGAAGAATAAGAAATTCCGAACATTTATTATTTTATTAGGTTAGCTGATACTATTTTGAATTGTTTTATATTTGAACTTTTTGGAAATATTTGATTATATACTGAACCGTGATTTTTGGGGCTTGATCCTACCCCTTATCTGGAATTGTTTGTACTGTGAATTTATTGAATTATATCGGTATTGTCGTTGTGAATTTCGCTGGTTTTAAAGATGTCCCGAAAAATGTGGGTGAATCGTTTAGATAAGGATGAGTTAATTTGGGAGTTACAACTCCGAGGCGTCCAAATTGGGACAATTGACGAAATGCGTTCTACTCTTTCGGCAGCCCTCAGACTAGAGAAGTCCGGTAGTAGTGTACGTTACCCTAAATATCCGTTTACTTATGAGGAAGATGAAGCGGCCATAGAAAGGAAGTGTGTCGAGATTGATTTTCTGTTAGGTTCGTATACAGGTGGTACCATGGTGAATGAAACCCAGAAATTGTCTACTAAATTGAGCCATGCGCTGAATCGGATTGATCAAATGGAGTGTGAATCGGTCGAACAAGAGGCTAAAAAGGCGGAATTATTGTCACGTTTGTTAGCGTTGTTAAATACCTTCCACAGGAAGTCTGGTACCGTAGAGAAGTCCGAAGAAAAACCGGAACCAGTAGCTTTGGAGTTGGTTATGAGTCGTCTCGATGAGGAATTCCAAGCCGGATTGCAAGACGCATGTGCGTCATCTCATGTTTCAACACCCCAGCGACCGACGAATTCTTCGGTCAAACCGGTTCTCCCCCATAAATGGCATCTAGAAAAGTTCACTGGTACAGGGAAGTCGATGTCGATTACAGCTTTTTTCGAGAGAGTGGAAGAATTGAAAGTTGCTCGTGGTGTGTCTGATGAAATTTTGTTAGATTCTGGATTCGACCTTTTTGCTGATAGGGCTTACCAGTTTTATAAAGATGTTCGCCGACGAGTGAATACATGGAATGAGTTGCGTAACGAATTTGGGCGTGAATATCAGTCTGCGTATCATACCGATCTGTTGTTCGATGAAATTAGGAGAAGGACTCAACACCCTTCTGAGTCCATTGGTGTGTATTTGGCGGTGATGAACAGTTATTTTGCTCGTCTAGATTGTACTCTTTCTGAGAAGGTGAAGTTATCTATTATACTTCGGAATTTACACCCGTTTTACCAGGATAGGCTGAGAGATCCGCTTCCGTCTACCCTTGAAGAATTACGGTCGGTTTGTCGTCGAATGGAGGATAGGCGAGATGCGATTAATAGTTACGTTGAACCAGGTAGTAGACGTTCGAATATTTTAGAGAGGGACTTAGCATTTCTTGAGGTAGAAGATGAACCCCAAGTATCGAGGACGGAGCTTGCGACAGCCTCTGCTACGAAATCGAATGAACAGGTCATTTGTTTCCGGTGTAAGAAACCAGGTCATCGGGCAATAGGTTGTGTAGTCCGTAGACCGTTACATTGTTTTAAGTGCAAGAAAGAAGGCGTTACGGTGAGGACTTGTCCCAAGTGCGGGTCGGGAAACGGAGGCTCACGTCCATGAGTGGTCGACAAGGGCGTGAAGATGAATTGTCCAGGACCAAAATAACTAACGTTCTTAATTTTATTCTCGAACATGCTGAGGGGGATGAGAGACCCTATCTGCGAGTGAATGTCTTGGGTTTGGAATTACTAGGCCTTTTGGATTCTGGTGCTTCCCGTACGATAGTCGGATCATCTGGTTGGCAACAATTACGACGTTTAGGACTCGAATTAGATGAGAGTAAGAGATCACAGTGTCGCGTCGCGAATGGTCAGTTATGTGAGAGCTTGGGAGAATGTTTGGTACCGTTCTGTATTCGTGATCAGTTGAGAGTAATTTCGGTCATGGTCGTATTAGAAGTTCCACATATTCTAATCTTGGGTGCTGATTTTTGGCGTATTATGGGCATCGTTCCGGATCTTAGACACGATGAGTGGCGATTTTCATCTACACCCTTTCCCGTCATGTCGGTAGAACGAGTGAATGGTGATATGGCGTTAGATAGCGAACAACAGATACGATTGGACGAATTAGTTAATCGATATAGAGAATTGATGGGAACCGATCTAGGATGTACGAATGTAGCTGAACATGTGATAGTGTGTAAGGCTTCCCCGATTAAACAACGATACTACCCCGTATCCCCCGTGATGCAATCGTATATTGATAAAGAATTGAATGAGATGTTACGATTGGGTGTGGTCGAGAAGTCTAAAAGTCCGTGGAGTTCACCTGTATTATTAGTGAAGAAGAAAGATGGTTCTTATCGTTTTTGTGTCGATTTTCGAAAGTTGAATTCAGTGACTGAGAGAGATAGTTACCCGTTACCGTATATCTCCAATACCTTGGAAAAGTTGCGTAAGGCTCGATATTTGACCACCCTCGATATTCGTTCTGCTTATTGGCAAGTCCCGGTTGCTGAGTCATCTAGACCATTTACAGCGTTTACCGTACCTGGTCGTGGCTTATTCCAATTTACCCGGATGCCGTTTGGTCTTCATAATGCTCCCGCCACTTGGCAACGTTTAATAGACAGCGTTTTAGGTCCCGAATTGGAACCTCATGTTTTTACTTATCTAGACGATGTAGTTATTGTGACTCAATCCTATGAGGAACATCTGACTGTTTTAGAAGAAGTCCTTCGTCGAATTAAGGCCGCTAATCTCACCGTTAGTTGGGATAAATGTCATTTCTGTCGCCCCCGTTTGAAATATTTGGGTTATGTTGTTGATGCTTCAGGTTTACATGTTGATCCGGATAAGGTTAAGGCCATGTTGTTGTTACCTGCCCCGGGGAATGTGAAGGAGTTGAGGGGAGTGTTGGGTACTTTTTCGTGGTACCGTAGGTTTATTCCAGATTTTTCGTCGTTAGTTTCTCCTCTAACTGCTTTACTACGGAAAGGTAGAAAGTATACATGGACGAGCGATTGTGAGAATGCGTTTCAGAAGATTAAACAGTGTTTGATTCGCGCGCCAGTTCTAAGTTGTCCAGATTATGATTTGCCGTTTACCCTACAGTGTGATGCGTCTGGTTATGGATTGGGTGCCGTTTTGTTGCAAAGTCACCCTGACGGGGACAGAGTTATTTGTTATTTAAGCCGTACTTTGACTAGGCAGGAGCGAAATTACTCAACCACCGAGAGAGAGTGTTTAGCAGTACTTTGGTCGATTGAAAAGTTGCGTCCATATCTAGAAGGTGTTCCCTTTACCGTAGTTACTGATCATTACTCGCTAGTCTGGTTACAAAATCTGAAGGATCCCACAGGTAGATTAGCCCGTTGGTGCGTACGTTTGCAACAATTCGATTTTACCATCATCCACCGAAAAGGTAAAGACCACGTTGTACCGGACACACTCTCACGTGCCATCCCCATCGCTGATGTAGATGTAGTTTCCGTAGACCAAGATCGTTGGTATCAGTCGATGATCCAAAGAGTTCGTCAAAATCCCCTGAAATTTTCACATTGGAGAGTAGTCGATGATAGATTGTATAAATATGTTGCTACGGGATTTCTAGCCCTTGGAGACGTGAATGACAACTGGAAACTTGTCGTACCCAAAAACGAACGACGTAGTATACTTGTACGTATGCATGAACCCCCTACTGCTGGCCATATGGGAATTTTGAAGACTTTTAAAAGAGTGAGTGAACAGTATTTTTGGCCCAAGTTACGAGCGGACGTGGCGAAATTTGTACGAGCGTGTCATGTATGTGCGGCTTATAAATCTGAACAGAGTGGTCCAAAAGGATTGATGACTCCTCAACCGAGAGCTTTGCGTCCGTGGGAGATTATTGCAACCGACTTGATTGGACCCCTACCTCGATCGACTTCTGGATATCGTTTTATTTTGGTTGTCGTTGATTTGTTAAGTAAGTTTACTCTTACATTCCCCTTACGTTCTTCGACAGCGAAGATTGTATCGAAAAAACTTGAGGAGGGAGTATTTTTGTTATTCGGTGTACCTAGGTTGATTTTGTGTGATAATGGTCCGCAGTATTCCTCGAAGTTGTTTAAGGATTTAATGGAAGAATACGGTGTGGCTATAAGGTACAATGCGCTTTATCACCCTCAAGCTAATCCTACCGAACGTTATAATCGGACTTTAAAAACGATGATTTCGATGTATGTTTCAAATGATCACCGGAAGTGGGAGAGTAATCTAACGAAAGTGACGTGCGCAATCCGGACGGCCTACAATGAAACGATTAAACAAACCCCTTATTTCGTTAACTTCGGGAGACATATGGTGTTGAATGGTAAAAATTTTGAGTCCAAAAACGGGAATGATATGGATTATAACACCCAGTTGAAACCTGATCCAGATGAGCGACAGAAAGAACTAATTGCGCTGTTCAAAGATGTCCGTAAACGTTTAGATGAGGCAGCTAAGAAGAATGAGCGGATATATAACTTGCGTCGGCGATGTGTCGAGTTGTTACCCAATCAAATCGTCTGGCGTAAAAATTATGTGTCTTCGGATGCTGCTCAGTATTACACAAGTAAACTAGCACCTCGTTGGGTTGGACCTTTCCGTATTAAGAAGCGAGTATCACCGTGGACGTACTTGTTAATGGACGAAAATGGATGCGACGTTGGTATTTGGAACATTAAAGACCTGAAACCGGCCGATGTTGTTAACAATACCTAGATATATTTTTGGATATTACCCTGTCAGACCAAGGAGCTTGATTCTTGCTATCGTACTCTTGGAGAAACGATACAGTCTGTTTATACCTTATTACAACTCCATCCTTTGTACTTAGTTGGGTTTTAGAGAGTTGTTTGTTCTGTAATCGGTTTAAATGCTTATTTTTTTTATTCGAATTTGACTTTATAATGCTGATTTGGGTTTAATGTGCCCTGTGATTGGGGGCAGGAGAATACCATCACCCGAGGATTATCCAGCGGGAAGGTAAGAACCCTTCAACTTGGCCACTTTTGGCCGCCTTTACTAACTTTTGGTTGGAGTTGGTGCAGTTAGTGTTTATTGTCCGTTGAAGTTCCGTGGAATGAATGGTTTCTTTTAGTGTTCCTTCGCTCTGTCAGGATTGTTAGGTGAGTTCAGCAGGAGTAGTCGTGCCTTAGGGACCACGTTACGTGAGTACGAGACTCTTGGCTGTCCTTTCAGACCGCACCTGCAAACTGCAGAACGATTGGTTTTGTTTGTTTTCGTTGACTTTGATTCCTCGGTACTTTCGTGGATCTGGACCAATTCCATTTTTAATCGCATAATTTAGGCCTATGGATTTTTTTGTTGTTGTCTTAAGTCCCAAGTTTCGACTTAAAAATTTGGGTGTAGTGTTGGAAAATTTATTTTGAGGGTATATTTTTTGTGGTTATCTCAGTCTTGACGTCTAAATTGCTCTCTTGGTTGAATTTTCTATTTTCTTTTATATTATCTTTTTTTTTTTGCACAGGAGGTTGACAAGTGTTATACTTTGGAGCGTAGATATTTTTTTTTTGTTTGAAGTGTATTTTCTTACTCTGATTACTAACTAGCGTTAGTGAAAATTCACCTGGTGAATTTTCTTGAAGTAAGGGGGGTCTGTAACGTTCTAAAATCTCCCTACAATAATCATTAATTCCATTACACATTTTAAATTCACTAATTGATTGTATTAAAGATTTGTTTACCTTTTGGAATAACTAGGGTTAATGATTCTACGAGTACGTTCGTTTGTCCAACAATAAATTCTTCTGTTTATTGTTATTGACATTTGTCTTTGTGTTCTTGACGAGTTAGTGTTCTGAGTAATTGACACTTCTAAAGGGTTATTTAGGTTGTTCCGTGGTTCCGCTGGTTCCATTTTGATTTTGGTCTTTGAGGCAGACAGACTCGTGGTATTACATTTTTAGTAATCGGGAAACATCTCGGATTTTCTACGGTCTGTCTGAATATATTTAACTTCGTTAGTTGTTTGGAGCCTTGTGCTATTTGATTTGCCGTATATTTTTGGCGTTAACGTGAGTTAAATCCGTTATTCGGGATCTATATCCTCTTGACCAAATCAACCACGTTTCGATCCCCGACTTAGAACACTAGGGGTAAGTCTTGTCTTCCTTCCTGTTGCAATCATTAATTGTGTGTTTCTTAGGATTAATTTTGATTACTACTATTACTTTGGGTTGAATTTTCCAATCCGTATTTTCTTGGATCTTCCGTGAGGTTATTTGTATTTAACTGTCTTCCGATTGGACTGGGACCGATTCCTGCGTCACTTTGACCGCCTGTAGTTGCGACCGATAGTTGATTCGACAAAGTTCACCTGTTGTCCCGAGTATCTGGACTCTTATGTGATACCCAGACCGTCACCAGGAACCTTGGGAACTTCACCACGTGGGATCCGTCCGCCATTTTCGGAGAAGTTTTATTATAATTATTTATTTAAATTTAATTCATCGTAGTTCAATTTCTTTCATTTTTCTTATTGTTAAATTCATCTTCACGTATAGTATCAATTTGATTATCGTTAAATTCTAATTCAGTACGATAGTTAATTAATTTTCTTTTGTTAATAACGAAAATTCGACTCGCCTTTACCGTTTTGTAATTACTCTGTGAATTATAGATATTCCTTTGGATCTGGACCCCAACTGATCGATCAATTGGAGGATCCAGCCGTATCGCCATAGTATATTGACTTCGCAGAACTTCGTTTTACTTTGAACCATCCGGTTGACCGGATCACCATCGGTAAGTCGAATTTGATTTATACCGTGTCTGCTATCTCGTACTGTTTGGAATTTCTTAATAATTATCTTTCTATTTCTTAATTTTCTCTCAATTTTTTTTTTTGTATTGTATTCTATTATTTCTTTCGCTATTGTATTAAATTAAATACCTATAGAGTTACGAAAAGTGTGTACTATCAATTCCTTGTTAAGTTGGGAGTTGATATAAGATTATATTGTTAAGGGCACTTGGTCAACTTAACTGGCGCCCGTTTTATTTTTAAATATCATTTAATTTTGACTCACTCCCGTCTCATCTGAGTATAGTCGCGTGCCCGGATGTTCAAGTCATCCACCTAAGTAACAAAAATATATATTTACCGTTTTATTTTTGTAGTTTTATTAAAGGGGTAAAATTTTAACGTTACAGGGTGGCATTTTTCGCAAGAATTCCATCAATTCGAGCTAATTTGATATTGTATACTGACTTTAATAAAGACATATACACTTACATCGAACGTTCAGGAAATAACCGATGCTGGAGAATCGACCCAGCCGATGTCTCGCGATGCATTTGTACCATCCGCTGTGTTCTCTTCTAATTTCGGTGAAATTCAGAACCCCGTCGGGGGTTTGCTGTACCGGAGGGGTACCATCGTCCTTCTGCCAAATGGGTAGTGCCTTCGGATTGGCGTCGACGTCGCATTTCAGCGAAACCGGCATTCCTTCCCGAATGGGAAACCCGAATCCCGGCTCTCTGGATATCGCAAACGATGGCGTATCTGCAACAATTAAAAATCAAACTTGCAAATACATCACGAGATGGTTTCCCAACAAGTCTGGAACATTTTCCTTGATGTATTGCGATAAGCAATCGCGCCGAGCTGTCGCCATCAATCTTTCATGAAACGTAAACAGTACAAAGTCGCGGAAAAATGAATAGGGATTTCTCCTTTGCAATATTAATGTCGGCTATTTTCTTTCCCGGGCGGACCTCTTCTAATTCAGTCCGGAAGGTAAACGCTAACACGGCTTTCATTCCTTCCCCGAATGGCTTCTCAATGTTTGATTATCTCCGAGAGAAACGGAGGGAGACGCGCGGAACTGAAAGACCTCTGGCGTAGCTATTATTTATAAAGAAATAAAAAAAACAACGTTTGCGCGTTCGAGATTTTATAGATTTATAAAAATTTGTTTAAAAATTCAACGATTAAGTTCGTTTAATGGCATATAAATCGCGCATTGTTCGTAATCCCGGTTATTCCGAAGTAAAGCAAGCATAACATGTGTTTCCGCGTTCCGCAAGTTTCCCGTCGAAAGGAAAATGTAAACAGAGCCTTTTTCACATTCCGGTGACCGCATTCGTCGGTTGATTCCGACTCCTCTTTACGTAGCGGCACGGCTAAAGAGTTTACGTAAAATCCCGATGGCAAACAGAACGCCAAGAAAATTTCAACTAAAATAAATACCCGGTGGAGAAGAAAAGAAAATTTGCGGTTTTCGCGTGCGCACGTTTCGAATAATGCGGAACGCCACAAAAAAACATATATACACTCTCTTTAATGCAGCAGAAATTGGTAGAATCTTTGGCAATCGAAACGGAACGTTTGACATCGGTTTAGTCGAAAACCTTATTGATCATCCCAGCGCTGTGTGATTACCTAATGATACATCAGCAAAACCGAATGCACCCTCCTGCTCCCTGCCATCGTAATTTATCATGAAATTCTAGAATATTGAGAGGAACTAATAGAGGTGCGCCCGAATTTCTACGGAATAATAATGAGCGAGTCGCAGACGGTTAAAGGCTTTTTCGGGCGATTTCGAATAAGCATTTCGCTGCCTTCCTTCCGGCCAATTTGAACTTTATAAATTCCGCATTAGCCGCGCGCTTTTTTCGCGTTCGACGATAAATTAATGAGACTTTATTTTGCGATGTTATTCGCCCAAAACTTGCCCTTTTTGTTGGTAGGTTAGTAAACAAAACGTCAGATATACTCGCTCATTTATTCATGTGAGATCATGCGCTGGAGTCGAAGGAAGATTCTTCGGTCATTATTCAACTTACAGCAGGTACGGTAATAAAGTTTCTGTTTTATGCATATAGGCGAAACGGAGATTTGTCGAACTTCTGACTCGACAACTTTCTTTTGACGGTGCTCTTGCTGCATTAATGTAGATATTTGCAGTTCATTTTGCGCCGCATCCCGCATACTCCGGAATCAGCAATGCGTGCTCGTTCTTTCTCCAAATGGGACGAATTTCGCTTCAAAAATTCATACTCCCTGCGGAATCGTCGATTGCTAACATCCCCTATTTATTCTTAGAACTAAAAAAACTTCTTATTCTTCAAGACATTAATACGAAATGCTATTAAACTGATTGCAGTAGAATGTAAGTACAAAAGTTTCTTCCTACTATTCTGCTACAAGTAGTTTATTTACTACTGTATAATTTTGTTGATTGAAATAAAACATAATTAAACTATTTATAATTTTTACTAGCACATTATACAATTAGATTTGTTTTCTAACTGTATTTTCTTTGGCTACTTTTGCTGTGCTTAGAGGACGATCGTTTACCGAACTTTTCCAATGCAACATCGGAATTGAAACTCTTTCTTCCATTCATTGAGCTTTGGGATTTATCTTTGTGTTCTTTTTCGTACTTCTTTTTGAACATTCTGACGCATTCGGACGGTGTTAGAACGCTTTTGCCGGCGCTTTTGGCGCAATCCTTGTCGCAGGATTTTATCATCGATGAAAAATCGTCGGGCGTCAGCGGCTTGCAAACGAAAACGTTGCCTTTTTCGTCGTTCGACGAGCGGCATTTCGCCGGCGGGAGATTGTTCAGCATGTTGAACAGTTTGGACTTGGGTACGTTGTTGTCGCAGCAAATGATCGCGCTTTTTTTCACCGAATTGCAAGTCTTCGACGCCTCCTCGTCGGGTTCTTTGAAGCAAACGCACGGCTTCAGATGGTCTTCGAAGGATCTGTTGGACCTGCACTTGTCCTCGTCTTTCTTCTTCTTCTTCCTCTTCACTTTAACTTCAACGTTGATGTTAACGTTCTTATCGCACGGCGCCAGTTCCAGGCGCTTTTCGAAGTTGAAGCAATGGCTAGCGGGACAAACGCTGTTGCAAATTTCCGTTCGTTTGATGCACGTTGATACAAGAGGTACCGGCTGGTTCATGGAAAACGAGTTGTTATTTTTGGAGAAACCTGCTGCCTCGGGCGAGCAATTACAGTAGTCTGGAGCATTCCCGGAGCATCTACAAGAATCTGGCGGTATCTTAGACGAACCATCAGGCGATGGAGATATTGCGAACGATCCATTAAGTTTGGAATATACCGGCGTCAAACTTGATTCACTGCATTGCACTGAAACGTTAGCTTTCGTGCATACCACTGCTTCGAGCTGAGGCTTGTCATCTAAAATCGAAGCGCTTTGGGACGCATCGGCGTATTCGACGAATTTATGCGATTCCGGTTTGCACGAATTGCAGCGGCAACAACAGCAACAATTGTTGGGACGCTTGCAGGACTGGAAGGCCTCGTTCAAAGACGCTATCAAATCGGGATTGTCCGGGCTGTACCAAGATTTGCTCATCGGAAACCTTCCGTTGCGACACGCCATCGTCGGTTCAATATAATAACGGAGCGTTCGCGAACGGTACGCAGGCCGTGTACGTTCTGAAGGCGAAAAACAGGCAGGACGACAGGACGAACATCAACAGGAAGAATCTGATACAGCAGGCGTTCGGTAGAAGCTTCGCGTAAAATTTCTGCGGCACGCACTTGCGACATTGGCATTGGAAACGTATCGTTTCACATTTCATATTTTCATTTTAGAACGAAAATTTTGCTGTTGCTTGCTTATTAATTAACACATGATAATTTACGAATTGATGTCTGTGACAAGTCAACCTTCAAAAAACGTTAATAGCCTGCGTGTACAAGCAAAAGGGTCTACAAGAAATAAGAAGAAAACGAACCTTCAAAAATTACTTAAATTTTTTTGAATGAATGAAAATTTCTTTTTTCTGAACCAATAATAACTCAAAGATTATACCATTAATGTTTTATTAACAGACTTCCTATATCTAAATTTTCGACAATTCTGTCGACGCCCGATTCGCTAATAAAAGCTAATACATAGAAGCAAAAGAAGAAGAAGAAAACTTGCAGGCATCTTTCGTGCGCTGTGAGTTGCTTCAGTCGGTCCATACGCGAAAAGTAGGAGAAAAAATGTATGGCGTTCAAAACGACCAGGTGTTCGTACAGGAACAATTCGTAATAATCGTCGAAATTAAAGTCGAAAGCGTTATTTGCGAAAACTTGTTCTATTTTAGGGGCACTCCTGTGCGTGAATGGCGGATTTTCCGGTGCGGAAATCAAACTGGTTGTTCCATCAGTTGCGATGGAATTGGAATCCGAGTTGATTGATTTGGCGTATTTGATAAGATTGTTATCCTCCAACCATTTTTTATAATCTTTGTCGTCGATTTCGATTTCGATTTTCTTGCTTAATCTTGCACCAAAATGGCTCGAACTGTTCGGGAAAGTGTTCTTGGAAGTGTACCTAAAATATTTTGATCGAGGAACGGCAGAATTCAAGAGGCGCAATTTACCTGGAGAATTTTTTTAAATACAAATAACTGGGCATACTTCCAAACACCATACACCGATTTGGTAATAAGCAGGTACTCAATCCGCCTAAATTGTACGTGGAAAAATCGTTTTCTAAATTCTCGCTGGTGTTTTTGTACAAAATTTTGTTGTTGCTGCTCATCAATTTGGTATCTAAAAATTGGACGTGCTCCGAAGAACCAGGAGATGTCACTGTGCCGATTTCGCTGAAGCTTTCGTTGTTATTTTTGTGACAGCTAAAAGATTTTAGGTATTTAATACTACTGGATGGTTTCGGCAAGACCTTATGGATCGATTCGCAAGGCTTGTGTTTGAATTTTTCTTCGGATTCCGATTGGTATTTTTTCAACACGCTCGATATGTGTCTGATCAAATTCAGGGCTTTCTCTTCTACTTCATTGTTTAGTAAAGGTTCTGATGTAAAAGTGTTGTCTTCTCTGGATTTAAAATATTTGTGCATCAGTAATTTAGCGTTCATATTTTCGTGAAGAAGTTCGTTTTGAACAGCTGGATTGTTTATGAAAGAACTGGAATATTTTTCGTCGGTTTTATAATTGATTTCTTCATCGTTAGCAGAAAAATTACTGACGTATTGTTTCTCGATATCGCATAAATTTGTAGCATTATCTTCGATTTCTTCTCTAGTAATTACTTGATCTTCATTATTTTTGTGGTCACTTAACAAACTCTCCTCATATGGGTTTTCTTCTACATCATTAATAACGAACCGTTTAAAACCGTTTTTTAGGATCGATTTTGGTTCTGCTTTATTAAAATTTGATATCCCATCATGATGAGGATTTTCCATAGTTTAAATACAGAAATATAGCCCAAAAAAACATGGAAATAAATATTTATCTACATTTAAAAATAAAGTGTCATCTTCAATTGACAATTAAGTACTGTTATTAGTACCTAGTATTTTTGTTGCTTATAATATAAATAAAATGTAATCTAATAATTTGGCAAAATTTAATTTAAAATAGATATTACATATATCCTTTGTAAAATCGAAAACGAAATATTAACTCGATTTTACTCGATGCTCCGGATGATGTAATTAATTAACCTAATTCAAAGGAAACGTTCAAAAGATGCCGCCGCATATTATATCGGATCCTTTGAAAGTAAATACCAAAGAACTTTAGGAAAGGCGATATAGTTGTTAATAAAGCCTCCTGGAGAAGTTCGAGTGTATAACGAGAACTTACAATTGAATTATTCGCTACGCGAGTAGATGAAAAGAGTAAGCAAGAAGAATAATATGGTTAAATTGATTTGCTTTCAGAACGGTTAATTATATTCCCTAGAAGGAATTTGAATATCGAAAGCAGCACAACGGCTGTATATGAAATTCGGTTATTAATTTGGAATTTACGACAGCTAAACATAAATCTTTGAGGAATTAGTAGAATTTACATGGATTAAAATCAACAATTTTCTAATCTATTTATGAATATATCTCAATATTTACGCATACAAACGATTTAAGACAAACATAATTAACTAAGAAATTGGGTGTATTTGGATTTCGAACTACTATTAACAGTGTTAAATGGGATTAAATAGCAAATATTCGGCTCTTTGAATAAACAACACCCATATCGACTGGGGATAGTTTTAAGCCTATTAAGACTCCAATAAAGCCTCACTCACCGAACCAAATTTTCTATTAAGCGATGAAATTGCTTCAATCCTCTCCCATGGGTCCTTGATTCACTAATATGTAAATCCTTAAGAGCACGCAAAAAATAAAAAAAAATCCAAGTCAATACTTACATTGTACATTCAGCAAAACGGAGGCGTTAAGGGGTTTATCCAAAGCAATGTGCCTAACGAAACAAGTCAAAGTAGCGTTGTGATGTCCTCTTAGAACTCGTCCTAGTCTAGCATCTGTCCTGGCGCCGATTTTTTGGTCGCGAATCGTCTCGGTGAGATTCAGCACTTCCAGCGGTACTTCGGGAATCTCCAGTAGCGCCGACGAGCCCAAAGTGAGCTCCCAGGAGAGCTGGGGTTTCGGATTTCCCTCGTCCACTACGCAGGACACCGTCAAATCGGAGTTCTCCTTTACGGGAATAAAGGGATTGCCGGGATCGAGTATACGGTTGTCGATCATTAAGTAGGCCTTCTTCGGTGCATCTGTAAACATAATACCACCAATCAACGACACAAGTTTAAAACTTCATCCAGGGATGAACGAATACAAACTCGATAAAACTTCTTCCAAGCGTGGAATTTCAATAAAGAAAGACCACACAGAGGTAAACTTGATTACGAGTCTCTTTCTACATCTTCGTTTTCTTTCTTGAACAATTTTTTCGACAGATAAAAGTCGATGATAAGTCTGGCTAACTGAAAGTTTGAACGGTATACGCTGATCTGCGCTGACACCGTAAAATATTTCCCTTGTAAAAGAAATCCCCGGAATTGATTCCGATCGAATCGGAAAGTTTTCGCGAAGGAGTGTAAAATAGGATCGACGATAAAACAGTCAGCCCCAGACGCTAGGCCGCTCGTGAAATATGAAATTATACACAGGAAACCTCCGATTAGAAGAAATTCCCGGATAAAACGAATTAAACGTTCACGTCAAACGCCCCGGATTAGATCTCGATTAGCACCTTTTTCGCCGGAGCGCCTTCCTCTCCGGGATTGCGTGCGCGACTTTCTAACCCTAAAATAATGTAATTTGTAACCCGAAACTGATACCGCGAGCATTCGGCACGCATACGATTTTTTTTTCGGGAGCTCCTCCGACGATTTTACAAATAGCTTTACACCTACTTCCTCTCGAACGAGCGTGTGCGTGACTGGAAACGCCGCTTTTATACATTACTCTTTTCGCTCGGATAGATAATCGCCCGAAGAGGAAGTTCTCGAATGCAATACCGGCGTTTAATCAACTTCACCAGCTCCTCCAGACGGCGTTTTTTACATACGTATCTGCTTTGGTAATTTTTATCTTGTATATCTCTGCTTTGAGTAGCTCTAAATTACGCCTCATTCATTCACGATTTATTTCCACAACAGTTGGCCATTTATATAGTTAAATATAAATGCTCAATCAGCTATTCAGAGACATTTTAGACGGTTAAAGTTGTTTGATAACTGCGAAATTTTGAACCAGGAAATTAAATAAAGTGTCTCCGGTTTTTGGATAAAGATAAAATGAGTTAACGTTGTTGACGAAGCAATATCTGTATAAACAATCGATCCATATATGGCATATAACATATGTGATGCAGAGTCGGAAATTTTCGAATTGCGATCGGCGGTTTAAGCTCGTTTCGGCTGCAACACGGTGCAAATATGGTAAAAGTATTGGAAATATTGGAATAAAGTTTTCAGAAGCAATCTTATCCCTGGATACAAGCGCATAACAGGCATTGTTATGCCCAGGAGGTAATTTTCGAGCTGAACTCTCAATAAAAATGATCGTTGAGAAAATCTCGAATGCAGGTGTATATTGCCGCAATAAAAGACGGCTGGGAATATAAAGGTATTATTGCTACTCGCATCTGGATATGCCCGAAGAATGGCGAGAATTGTTGGAAAGAATAATTTTTTTAGTAAGATCGCAACAACAATTTCAAAATTGAATAGTTCAAACAGACTCAATTTTCGTGTTTTACGTTGAAATGAAGTTTTCGCTTTTTAATAGCCCCGAATTCCTTTGCGGGTCAAGTTCGCTTTCGCCTTCAATTTCCGGAATCCCTGCGTTTAAAGTCAAAAGTCATGCACTTTGCGCACAGCCGCGTCCCTTCGAGTAGCATAAAGGAAATGTTTGGGAAATGTACTATTACTCCGGTTCACCTAAGGAGGTTAAGCGGGATTTTCCGACGCTGTTTGAAGGAAAGAAAACACACGAACGCTCGGGAAAAGGGATTAATGTCCTGATGGCAGTTGGGGGTTCGCAAAAATGCATGCTGGTGCATCGCCGGCGAAATGTCCATTGTCTTCGATAAACGCTCGTTTGAATATTCCGATAAAAATCCGTGCAATTCCCGGATCACTGAAGGTCCTTTTTATTACGGCGTTGCGGCTATAAAAATAATTTACTGAGTTCGCGTGACACTGCGGCCATTCGTTTCAATAAGGGAGATATTATTACCATTTGCAGCCCCCTTTTCTCCGTGTAACCGCCCACGTCCGAGCCGATTCGCGTTTATTTGAAAAACTAACGGTTTCCTACGAGCGAAAATACCTACTTTTATCGCCTTTTTTAACCTAGGTGCTCTTATCGAAGAATTCATCAAGAAACGGTATGAGTAGAAACGAGCAGTAATCTTTTATAGGAAAATAACACATGTACATACACACAGAACTAACTAATTGAAAATTTTAATATTCAAATTGCGAACAATATAGGAAAATACATGCATTTATTAATTTTTTGTTTGTATGCAAATACTTGTTAAAAGCTTCAATTAAAATGGATATAGTTGTGTAGATAGATTAACAAAAATTATTCGTTATTGATACAAGAAATTGTTATTTGCTTTATGCTATTCGCAAATATAGTTCATGCTCTGTTTTCATTGTTATCGGTCATTAACGTATTTGACAATTTATCGGAGTCGATCAAATTTCGCTTCATTTCAACCGAATGAAATGAATAATGCTACTGTATTGTTGATTAACCATGTATTTCCATGAGGAATTTAATGATTGACCCAATTTCATCGGTGTTATACAAGACACGTACATCCCATAATATACTACCAATTGCAGCTTGATTAAAAAAATATTATTAAAATTAATAAAAAAACAAAATCTTCATTTTATCTGAAATAACTTCCTATTCACATTTCGCAGTAAAACCTAACATAACTTCATCTCCTACGAAACATTTCAGGCGAGGTAAAAAACATAAATCATTCAAACTAAAACAAGTACAGCGGTGGAAAATTTCGAAAAAGGAAATTTACATCTTCAGATAGCGTTTCGGCTTGAGCGAATGCGAAATAAAATAAGCGTTAAATACGAAAAGGAAGCTGCAACTTAAGATGAAAAGTAAACGTTTCCCTGGTCCGGATAATATCATTCATAGTTTATTTTGCGTCAAGATGTTGCTTTGCGCGGTTGAAGAAAAGAATTTAATGGAATAAATATAAATAGGAAATGCTAGACGGCGGAAGAGTTGTTATCTGAAATTAACCGCTGGTAAGACGAGTCCCTCGAGTAGAATAAATACAAATTGTATTCCTGAATGGAGCGAGAACATGGGTTGTTCGAGAAAATAATATAAAACCTTTGATTAGGTATACAACTAATGGTTTTATTATCTTCAGTTGTTTTGTTAAAATGGTATAAAGGAATCTAAATGGAGAAATTACAATAAAATATTGTTTGTGGGTATTTGAGAAAAATTATAAAACTAGCCATCAAAAAAAAACGTAGAAGTTTAAGCATTTTTAAAAATTCAAAACAAACTTTTCCATCGAACACCGGTTATTCCATAATTGATTTGCCGCACCGTATGCTGCAATATAGAATTTATTAAAATTTTACACAAACACGAAATTGTTAAACAAGTTACAGGAGTTGGTTTCGAAGTTGGGAAAACGGTCGTTTTTCAACCACCTCCCGCCTTGATGGAGTGAGGAAGGCTCAAGACGACTATACTTCCGAGTTTTGAACTTTAAAAGAATTTGTTACAGGTACAAAACGAAGACTATTTAAGGCAACAGTGGAAGATTGATTAGGGGAAAAATTGGTTTTCAAAAATACTCCGTACTAAATGCATTTAAGCAACAATAAATAAGGTTAAAAATTCGTAAGTTCTCAACCTTCACTCTCTAGATCTATTTATCATAGAAGGAAGATAAAAATATCAAAGCCATTTAGATCAAAAATTTTTGCTCGGATCGCTAAACAACGCACGTCCGACACATCTTGACAGACGTCGTCGGTATAACATCGCACGTTCCATCCGGAAAGATTAATTTCGCCGCCCGGAGGAGGCACAGACCGAGCACAATTCGAACGGACGCGAGCGACTCGAATTATACGCGAAGAATAATATTCCTCATACCTATTTCGAATTAGATACGACCGGCGCGAATTAAAATTTACGACTTCCCCGGAGTAATTTTTACGAGCGATCCTCCGAACCCGGACGAGCTAATGTCATAAATTTAGCGCAATGTAAATCGCTAACTTCCGATGTCTTAACGATTGTGTACGTAGGAAATTGAATTAATTATCGGACAATTCAAATGAGTCTAAAAACCCATCAAAACTCCCCCCCTTCCAATCGCCAGATTATCTTCATTACCACAGAAACTCCGGTGTTCGGAAGGACAAAACGAGAGTACGGCTCGACGAAGGGCGATAATGAATTAAAGGAACGGAACAACGGGACAGACGGACTGGCAGAGACAGAAAGGGGATTATCTACGACTGAGTAGATTATAATTAAAATATGTATTTGTGCATGCGAACGCGGCTCGGACGTTTCGGGGGCGGGCGGGCTCTCCATTATGCATGCGTACAACGCGAATGCGGCGATACCATCAGGGGATATTATTTAAATGGCCAAGTCGCCGTGAAATTCGAAATAATGTTGTCCATTTGCTTCCATCGCAGCGAATCTAATAGTCGCCTTCTATTCAGCTGGTAAGGGGATCGGGTCACTCGCGATGCAGTTAGGAAAAAGTTGAACTAGGTGAAATAAACTTACCCAATATTGTCAGTTGAACGGGCCGCCCTTGCACGACGAATCCGAACGCGTCCTCGGCCTCGCACTGCCACCGCCCGTCGTCCTCCAACCTCACGTTATCGATCAACAAATTACCACTAACGTCCACTAAAAATCTATGGCCTATCACGCGCTTGTTGTTGGTGTTGTCCTTGAGGATCGTCTGCACGATCTGGCCGTCTTTGAGCCAAATGCTGGTGCTGAAGTTGATGTTGACGGCGCACTCCAGCATCAGCTGGTCCCCCTGCTTGGCGTAGACGCGCGCGTTGGAGGCCGCCTCGTCGACGTCGTCGCTCAGGTTCGTCCGGATGTCAGCTCGAATCGAGCGCCGGTGGGCGCTCGACGTGTGCGGATGGCGCATATGCGATTTCGGATGAACGTAACCTGCAATGAACATTCCCACATTAACACCTCTACTCCTACTACTACTAGTTAGTTCGCAGGCGAACCTTGACCGAGACAGCTCAAACCAAGGTTCAAGCACTGAGGCCTCTAGCGGGCCCATTCCTGCTGCTTATGCATCCATGAAGCCCTCGATGAAGGCCTCAGTTATTTTCAATGGATGCCTGTTTATGTCTCCAGGAGCCATAAGAGGAACTCCAAAGGTAGCGCAGTCCAATTCTGACACTCCAAAAGAACATGGTCCGATGTTTCATCCCTCTAAACCCAGGTTGTAGAGGTATTTCCTCAGACAACAGTTCCCCGTTAGGAGTCCTGCTATCTTTTTTAACCTACTCCCTCACCTACAAGAATACACCAACGGTACTTTTCCAGAAGTAATTTTTCCAGAAGGATTGCCGAAACAACATATCACATTCCGAGCAACCCTGAAGATCGATTAATCGATTGAATATCGGTTTGTTTAGTAATGCTGTACGAGATTTTCGCATCGCTGGAGATCCTTTGGGCGACAAATCTCGTGCAGGTGTTACGCGCGTGTCGTGCGAGTAATTAATTATGACGTTACATTAATAATTAGGGATGTTTCCGAAAATCCCATATGACGTGTGTATCGTGCAATGCTGCATAGACGTCGAGGTTAATGTTCTACATTTCCCATCGACGAGCTATTAGAAATATCGGAGCAAATTGAATTGGAGTAACTAATTTCACTGCCGGTTGGGCTGGAAATTTGCTCTAATGTATTGCGTTGCTTGGAATACATTTAGTAATTATTGAATTTTAAACAGGTCTTTTATAGTAAAAAAATTACAACGTTCTCGAAGATAATCCCGTGAATTGGGGCTTCCAGTCCGAAAGCAGTTTTTTTTGTCTCGACAATTTAAATCACCTGTCTACAACGTCAATCACCGCCGCATTCGAATAAAACTCCCTCGTTTTTAATGGGCTTCGCCGGAATAAATGGTTTGGGAGTTCCGGTTATAAAGCCGTCCGGAGTTGTTGTTTTTTTTATTTCAACCCCTGCTTTACAAATCCGAAACTTACAGGTGAAGTGTAACGAAATAAACGAGACGGGATCGAGGGTGTAATTTATAATGATTAAAATCCATTAGAAATAAATTTCACGTTAATTCAATACCTACTTGCTGATTATTTTAAAGCGTAAAATTAAATTCGATGTATCGAAGACAAACAATACACGTATCCTTTTCCGTTTAAAACGATAGAAGGATTTTTAAAATCCGAACGTGCCGGGAATAAAATCCGGAGGACAAGCGAATGCAGAAGGACTTACCCGGAGCGGGCAACAAAGGATATCCTAATACAATTAAATTAATAAAGTTCAGAAATATTAAACCCACCGAGTTCAGAAACGAAATTAGACTCGACTAGCATTAGATTTATTAACACTATTTCCAGAAACATTGTTTATCTTTTTTAAATTTTACTTCGCACACATCCGGAACAATTAATAACGCGAGCGTTACGTTCATCTTGAAAACATATGACCTGAAATTAATCTCATATATCTAACCGTTTGGGAGTTTGAAACCGAGATGAAATTCTGGGTTAATTTGAAATTAAACTTCGAGAATAATATTTCCGGGAGGTTTGCGGTTTAACCACGTACAAACTCACTTCCTCCCCCCGCCGGCCTTGGAGTACATCTATATATCTATCCACCTTAAAATCTCGCTCGGTAAATAATTGATTTTCGTAAAGTTTGTCTCATAATTAGTTTTCATGAATATAAATTGAGAAATGCCGGAGAGCGAGAGGAAGGAAGAGGCAAGGAGTTCTTCGAGGCAACTCCAGGTTGGCTTAATTAACAGTTTGAGGATTTCAATCCGAAAAGTATCTACTATTATCGCATTCTCTATTGTACGTGTGAAGTACGAATACGCCTCAAAGTATCAATCACTGATTCAGTCAAATTTATAAAATTTTACTACCCAGTCGTTTTAATAGAATCCATCGTCTGTAATCGAAGTTTTCTCTAATCGAATATTTCTATTTTCGTTGGATTTAATTATTTTTCTCATTGTTATACGAAAATGAGTTTGCCAGATTTGATGAATACCGATTCCTTTGAGGTATATGCGAATGATTGGTTAAACTATCTCTATATTTCATCTAAGACTTTAATAAAGCGGTTGGTGGAAATTGAAATCGACTTTGGTATTAAAATTCCGGCAAAATTTTGCTGCGGGAAAATCGATAGAGGGAATTTTAATTTTTCTGGGATATTCTATGGTAAAATTAGGTCGTTAATTGTTAATTATTTGCTAAATGTTTTGTAAATAGGATGCATAATTAAATTTAACTGCTCAGTTATTATTGAAATTCAGTTTTATATCTAACGGTTAAATAATCATTTTAATTAGCAATATTCGGAATAATTAATTAAAATTTATCCATATAATAGGGAATCGATAGCTAAAAACATTTTCGATGGTTTATAATTTATATTACGAATAAAAAACGATGAAAAATTTTTCAGTAGATTTTATAAGAATATTTTATTCGACAAATGACTTTAATTAAATGTAAGTTTCTTGTCCATTTATAACCGAGAAATGCTCCATACAAGCTGAACAACTAAAAATAAACCGCATTTTTCAGGACCCCGACGCGGCGCGAAAAACTGAAAATAATTACCCATAATTAGCGCTATACGAGTATTCGTCTCTGCGACCGGATTTTTCACGTGCAGCTTTTATGCTTTTTCATGTAAAGAGAACTGAAACGCTGCTAGCGTGATTTTTCTCTCCCGTAAAAACGGGCGCAATTCAGTAAATTTTCCGTTTATTCCAGTTCCCGCTCTAAATTGTGTCCCACCTGATACTGGCCGAATATATTACAACGGGTTATCGCGGCAGTTCCAATTTCGGACCCGCCGACAACTTTACGGCTCTAAAAGGGACACACAAAGGAGATTGGGAGATTTCCGGAATGTTAAGAATTCGAAAATTCGACCTGAAAAAACCATACCCTCTTCAGGATTGTTACTTTACAACTCCTTATTCCACCATATTTTATAAGTGTCTTGTAGAAATTTAAATAGCCAACTTAGTGCAAATAGAAATATATGAATCATTTAATTAACACACATAGAGAAACTTCGACAGACGGGAGAACTCTTATTTATTTTCGCCGTTGTACTTTTAGAAAACTTGTAACGAGGCTCGTTCCTCAGCCCCAACTTTATATCCCCTAAAATATTTGATGCCGTATACATGAACGTGTACGGGGCTCGTAAACTTTGTTTTAAAAAGTTGTAAAAGACGAAATTGTACGAACAGTGGTTTCGTTATCTCGTTTGATGCCATCTTTTAAGAGAGCACGTTTCGAAATTAACTCCTGGAAACCTTTTTTTTACTTTATATGTTTTGTATGGTGCGGAATAGATTGCGTGAGTTTTGTTTATTGCAGTTGTAAAAAAATATGAAGCTTTTGAATTTATTGTTCGTCATATTTTTTAATATTTATTATTTGTGCTTTAATACACCTAACTCTTAAAATGTTTGATAAAAAAAACGGTTTCTGAAAATTCGTGCAATAAACTTGTAGTAACGAAATAACTATTGATTTTGTTGTTATGGTCAATCTTCTATATATGTTATATAGAATATATAACATATATAAATTAACTATATAAATATAGCTATATAAATTAACTCGAGTTATACGCAGTGTTGCATTATCTTATCAAGGTTGCCAGCAATCAAACGAAATATAAAGTGGAAGTGGTGTTAGTAGATAGAACATTTTCGAGTGAGAGTGATTCTGTTGATGTCCTTCCAGCTTAATCATGCTTGATTTTGTTTTTTCAATAATATTTGCCAGTTTAATATATTTATTCCTAAAGGATCGTTATAGAGCGAACAAGAATTGGCAACAATTAAATAAGTGGCTTCCCATAAGGGCAGGATGGCCGATAATAGGAAATGCATTGGAATTCAAGGATTTACCTGGTAAATTTCAGTTGCTATTGAATAAATAAAAATGTTTGAGGGCGTTAAGAATTTATTAAGAATTGAATATTTTTATATATACAGTGTGTCTACTTAAGTTCGCACCATATGGAAAACTTTTTTATTATTAATTTTACGAAAAAAAGTTATTCTTCATAAAAAGTTCTGCATGTTTTAAAACCTAAAATACAACCATCAGATAACAATTTTTTTAATCCGTATACGAGGTTTGTCAAAAAAATGTGTTTTTTGCTCAAGAGTAAAGTACCTTTATTTTTGAAAATCAACACCTAGCAACACCTAGCAATGTTTTTATGTAGTCGATAATTATTGTAAAATAAATTATTTTGTTATCATTTATTTCAATGCATAATCAAACTAATGCAACATAGAGGTTAAGAGATGTAAATGTAATAAAATTTTTAACGAATAAAGAGATAACGAATAACAGATGATAACAATTTCCAATATTTTCAAAAATTTACTTCACTTTTGAGCAAAATTCATATTTTCTGACAAACCTCGTATACGACTAAAAAATTAGATATCTGATGATTGTATTTTAGGTTTTAAAACATGCAGAACTTTTTATGAAGAATAACTTTTTTTCGTAAAATTAATATTAAAAAAGTTTTCCATATGGTGCGAACTTAAGTAGACACACTGTATATATTTAGTAACTATTTGTTATTTAAATCGAGTCTCAAGTATCTAATCAAATTGATAAAAAAATCCTTTTAGACAGTACTTAAACATCTCTAATGAACATTTAATATTATCTACATATCTGTACCTAGAAACATTAATTTTTGAAATAAAATTAACTCAATCGAATTTTTCAGATTATTTGGCGAAACTTCCACAAATGATTCCAAAAAAGGAGAAAGTTTTAGTTCTAAATTTTGTCGGTTCGACGGCTATTTTTGTAACCGAAAAGGAATTTGTAGACTTCATTCTGAGCAGCCAAGATCTTTTATACAAGTCTATTGATTACAAATTATATAGCAAATGGCTTGGTAACGGCTTAATTACTGGTGGAGGTAAATATTTGTATAATCTACCTAGTAATAGTTAAAAAATTAATTGCTCACGACCTCCTAAGTTATAAAGCTCAAATCTATTCCTACAAATCCATTAGTAAGATATTCAATTTTTAGTATTTTTTCAGGTCAGGAATGGAGGACGAGAAGACGAATTATAAATCCCTCGTTCAATTATTCCATACTTGAAAATTTTCTAGAAATATTCGATTCCAACGGAAAAGTTTTAATAGAGAAATTGAAAAAAAATCCAACGAAAGAAAGAATTGATATCCACCATGATATAACACTTTACACCCTCGACGTAATTTGCGGTAAGAACCATCGAAAAGAAACTAGACAAGAAATTGAATCTTATTGACTGATTTTTTTGCTTAGAAGCTGCAATGGGTGTAAAAGTGAACGCTCAACAAGACTCCGATTCGGCGTACGTTCGAAATGTGAGTTTCTTGTGCCAAATCGGAATGACTCGAGCAGTGTCTATCATAAAAAATTTTGATCTGTTGTATCCATTAACCTTGGATTTCTACCGCGAATTAAGGGCGGCTAAACATTTACGTGAGGTTACGGATTCGGTGATAAAAGAAAGAAGTCGATGGATTAGTAACGATGATGATGAATTAACGGACGACTGCGGTCGCAAGAAGAAAATGGCATTTTTGGATCACTTGCTGAAAGCTCGAATTGACGGGAAGCCTTTACCTCAGGAGTGGATTAGGGAAGAAGTGAATACGTTTATGTTTGCTGTTAGTTAACATTTTATAATTTTTTGATTCACAAACTTAAAGTCGTCGTTTCTAGGGACATGATACATCAGCTTCCGCTATCAGTTTTTGCCTTTACTTTCTCTCCGAAAATCCTGAAGTACAGGTAAGTTCATTACAATTTCTAATATGATGCGAAATGTTTCTTTACAAACTGCGTTTCAGAAAGGTGTAGTAGAAGAACAACAATCAATATTCTCTGACGACATCTACAGATCCTCGACATTGAATGACCTTAATATGATGAAATATTTGGAATGCGTAATAAAAGAAACGCTCAGATTGTGCCCATCAGTTCCAATATACGGAAGATACGTGGATAAAGATATAAATTACAAAGGTAGATTTAGCGGATAATCATACCAAATATTTACATTTGTTTGGAAATTATAGGAAACGTGATTCCAAAAGGAACAAACATAATACTATTCCCGTTTGGTATGCACCGCGACGAAGATTATTATCCCGATCCAGAAAAATTCGATCCTTCCAGATTCGAGAATCCTGATGAAAAGAGACCGTACATATCGTTCAGTGCAGGCCCAAGAAATTGCATTGGTAGATACTTATTAAAGTACCCTTTAAATTTCATATACATTTCATAATTTTCAGGTCAGAAGTTTGCTTGGTTGGAAATGAAAACTATTATATCGAAAATAATAAGGAACTTCGAGTTATTACCGACTAATCCTAGACACAAATTAGTATATTCCGCTGAAACGGTGTTAAAATCGATAACAGGGGTAGATATTGGATTGAAAATTAGAAAGTGGTGAAGATATTGCAGCTGCCTTATAACAATATTATTTGGAATAGCTGAAAACCTTTATTTTACTTCATATATTTTTTATGGTGCGAAATAGATTGTGTGAGTTTTGTTTATTGCAGTTGTAAAAAATATGAAGCCTTTGATTTAATTGTTTGTCATACATATTTAATATTTTTTATTTGTGCTTTAATACACCTAACTTTTAAAACCCTTGACAAAAAAATTGTTGACCATTACAAAAATTGTAATGGTTAATCTTCTATATATGCAACCACGTTACTTAAACCAGAACCAGTTACGATGAAGTATTATATAAATTAACTCGAGTTATCCGCGGTGATGTATTATCTTAACGAGGTTGCCAGCTATCAAACGAAATATAAAGTGGAAGTGGTTTTAGTAAATAGAAAGTTTCGAGTGAGAGTGATTCTGTTGATGTTCTTCCAGCTTAATCATGCTTGATTTCGTTTTTTCAATAATTTGTGCCAGTTTAATATATTTATTCCTAAAAGATCGCTATAGAGTGAATAAGAATTGGCAACAATTGAATAAGTGGCTTCCCACAAGGGCAGGATGGCCGATAATAGGAAATGCATTGGAATTCAAGGATTTACCTGGTAAATTTCAGTTGCTATTGAATAAATAAAAATGTTTGAGGGCGTTAAGAATTGAATAAGAATTGAATATTTATATATATATATATATATAAATTATTAAATTTAAATTATTATATATATATATATATATATATATATATATATTTAGTAACTATTTGTTATTTAAATCGAGTCTCAAGTATCTAATCAAATTGATAAAAAAATTCTTAGACAGTAAACATTTCTAATGAACATTAATAGATATTATCTCCGTGTAAATAAATTATTTTTGAAATTCAAATTAATTCAATCGAATTTTTCAGACGTTTTGGCGAAACTTCCACAAATGATTCCAAAAGATAAGAAAGTTTTACTTCTGTATATAGTCGGTTCGGCCGATATTTTTGTAACCGACAAGGAATTTGTAGACTTCATTCTGAGCAACCAAGATATTTTATACAAGTCCATTGATTACAAATTCTATAGCAAATGGCTTGGTAAAGGCTTAATTACTGGTGGAGGTAAATATTTAAATAAATTATCAATCTACATTGTAAAAGAATTAATTGCTCACGACCACCTAAGTGATAAAGCTACAAATCCATTAGAAAGATACTTAATTTTTAGTAATATTTCAGGTCAGGAATGGAGGTCGAGAAGACGAATTATAAATCCCTCGTTCAATTATTCCATACTGGAAAATTTTCTAGAAATATTCGATTCCAACGGAAAAGTTTTAATAGAGAAATTGAAACAAATTTCAACCAAAGAAAAAATTAATATCCACCACGTTATAACACTTTACACCCTCGACGTAATTTGCGGTAAGAACCATCGAAAAGCAACTAGACAATAAATCAAATCCTATTAATTGATTTTTTTGGTTATACAGAAGCTGCAATGGGTGTAAAAGTGAACGCTCAACAAGACTCCGATTCGGCATACGTTCGAAACGTGAATTTCTTGTGCCAAATCGGAATGACTCGAGCAGTGTCTGTCGTAAAAAATTTTGACCTGCTGTATCCTTTAACCTTGGATTTTTACCGCGAATTAAGAGCGGTTAAACATTTACGTGACGTTACGGATTCGGTGATAAAAGAAAGAAGTCGATGGATTAGTAACGATGATGGTGAAATAACGGACGACTGCGGTCGCAAGAAGAAAATGGCATTTTTAGATCACTTGCTGAAAGCTAGAATTGACGGGAAGCCTTTGCCTCAGGAGTGGATTAGGGAAGAAGTGAATACGTTTATGTTTGCTGTTAGTTAACAATTTACAATTTTTTGCTTTATAAACTTAAAGTCGTCGTTTCTAGGGACATGATACATCAGCTTCCGCTATCAGTTTTTGCCTTTACTTCCTCTCCGAAAATCCCGAAATACAGGTAAGTTCATTACAATTTCTAATATGATGCGAAATGTCCCTTTACAAACTGCGTTTCAGAAACGTGTAGTAGAAGAACAACAATCGATATTCTCCGACGACATCTACAGATCATCGACATTGAATGACCTTAATATGATGAAATATTTGGAATGCGTAATAAAAGAAACGCTTAGATTGTGCCCATCAGTTCCAATATACGGAAGATACGCCGATAAAGATATAAATTACAAAGGTAGATTTAGCGGATAATCATACCAAATCTTTACATTTGTTTGAAATTTATAGGAAACGTGATTCCGAAAGGAACAAACATAGTACTATTCCCGTTTGGTATGCACCGCGACGAAGATTATTATCCCGATCCAGAAAAATTCGATCCTTCCAGATTCGAGAATCCTGATGAAAAGAGACCGTACATATCGTTCAGTGCAGGTCCAAGAAATTGCATTGGTAAGATACTTATTGAAGTACCCTTTAAATTTCATGTACATTTCATAATTTTCAGGTCAGAAATTTGCTTGGTTGGAAATGAAAACTATTATATCGAAAATAATAAGAAACTTCGAGTTATTACCGACTAATCCTAGACATAAATTAGTATATTCCGCAGAAACGGTGTTAAAATCGATAACAGGGGTAGATATTGGATTGAAAATTAGAAAGTGGTGAAGATATTGCAGCTGTCTTATAACAATATTATTAAGAATAGTAAATAGACTTTAGTTCAACTAAAAAAATCCATCAGTAAGATTTAACAGTTTGGTCGTGTTCGCTTTGGGAAACTCCATGGAAGATCCTTACCATAAATAAACTGGATTGCCCTTAACTGGTCGAAACTTCGCCGAAAGTGGTCCGAACTTAATAATATATTTTCCGAAACCCCGGACTCGAGCAAGAAGTATCCATCAAATCGGGATCTAAAGCCAGTCACCCACTTTGAGCTGTAATTAGACGTTTTATGGGCGATGTAATATTAAACAGCCGTTCGGAGCTAAATCTCTATTTTATTAGGGTTAATTTACGGCTCTTTAAGACCGATTTCTTGCCGTCTCAAAGTTAGAGACGACGAGATTTATCTCGATTCGAAGCCTTTCGTCGACAGATGCTTGTAGTGCTTTTTATCCGTTAGTTTATACAGAGCGTAATTAGGAATTTGTTCCTCATCTCGTCAATAAAATTGATAAAAATAGACCTCTATTACTGGCTTTTATAAGATATTTATGTACCTATAAGATTAGTGAGAAGGCAAAATTTGGGAATTGCAAATCATTGTGATCATTAGAATTTTTAATATTATCTAATCATTTGTTGTATATTATTAGTCTCCAATATTGTAATTGACTTGTTGTTTTTTAAAAGATCTAGGTATAAAAAGTTGTTAACATATACCAAAAAGTTGATATTTTATTTTTTGTGGAATACCTACTGTTTGTGAACCAATTCATTGATGACGCAAATCTATAATTTATTTGATTACAAAAATACCCAACCGATTAAAATCTATCCTTGAACATTGGATTAAATTAAAATGTGCATACAAAAACACGCGAATGTGAAAATATCAATCAATTTTAATCCCGTCTAGGGTCTAATTTATAAATCCACCCCGGCAACAATCTCCCGGAATTAATCACCTCTATTTTAATTAGTAAGGAGCATTAGGTGTTGTATACAACCGCGAAGTAACTACCTCAAACGACTTGACGGCAATTTATCCGCCGATTGTAGGCGAGGAAAGTCTGAATGAACGTCGCGATATTTCACTCCGGGCTCACTCCTACGGAAAATTTCCGACGGGGCGACCCAGTTTCCGCGACGGAGGATGAACGTTTTGTTTAGAATTTTAATAACTGTTCGAGGAATTCGGATTAGATAGACGTTTGTCGTGATTCGGTTTTCGTAACTTTGAAGTACGCTTTCGCGCCTGGTTAAATTTGCTGGCTAAATTTTAATCGCAATTTTCCGATAGAAAAATGTTTGTGTAACCTAAAACTTTACTTTATAAGTAGAAGCTTTAATATTTCTTCTCTCTTTTTTCTTAGTAGTAATTATTTTAATTTTGCAAATATTAGTAATAGGAAGTTATAAAGTTTTTCTATCAGATCTACTTGTAAAGAGTTTGGATTAAAGTCGTTATCGACGAAACTAATTTGACATAAAAATGACGAGGTATTCAAGCAACCGCTAATAAATCTGTACAGTAGATTGCATCGAAAGATAAGCAATACAATTTCCTTTATCTGCAACAACATTGCAATAAACATAATTTAGAATGAATCGCTCTGTTCAGGATTGTAATTGCTCCCGGAATTCGGAGCGTTGCCCTGCGTATCTGTAGCCGTCACTATTTCTTTGTAAACATCCTCGTTAGAAAAGAAAAGGAGTCGCCAGAAGACAACTATAAAAATTTTAATAAAGTAATTTGTCAAATAAAGTAACCCAAACAAGCAGATTACCGAAGCTTGTTTAAAGTTAAAAACCGGCGGGGTTAGTCGGAGCCGGCGAACGTATAGAAGACGGTATAAAATTGAAGATAATGCCGCCGCCCTCGGATTTTCCTTTATGCAGGTTCGGATTTATTTGAATTGTTTGCGAAATTGCTCTTATCAATCTTTAAAAACATCCAACTTAAAGGGCCATTTGTATGGATTTTCCGCGATATTCGAACTTTATACAGATGTTATATTGTTTCATTTCGGTCTCCAATCTCGCCAAACATTTCCTACTTTCGTTTAAATGAGCAAAATTCATTTTCCTCCTTTATTACTTCATTAGTTTTTAATTCAATCTCCTATTGACTATTAAAAATGTAAATTAATAGAATTACTATGATACCGTTGATAATCTTAGATAACTGTCAAAATATTCTCAGTATATCCTCTGTTTTATCACGTCGAAGTGTTACCGATTCGAGCTATCGCGTGTCCTTGATCCCGGATAAGCAGGTCGATTTCTAAGTCGAGAAATAGGGATAAACATCTTAGGAGTAAGCGTAGGGAGTTTTTGTCATGAACTGCGTGCTCAGGATGCGGGATTTCGGGATCTTATAAGGGGAAACATCAATCTTCTCTTAGGAAGACGATTGAGATAACACAATGGATATTTTATAGTACCTAGGTAAACTATGCGGTTTTTAAAAACACTGCATTCTGGGAATGGTAGTTATCCAGTAAGACTTTCTGGTTCGTCATTTTTTTAAACTGGAATATCCCTGTACATATATCATTTTTCTTCAACCAGTATCACGAACAAATGTTACGTACAATTTCCGGTTAAGCATTTTTCCTGAAACATTAGCTAATGGTGAATTTCCTAAGTGGTTTTTAATGGTCCTCCCCGTACTTTTTAGGGGAGCAAAGCGACATTAGATTCGTACAGGGTGCAAATTACTACAGAATTGTACTAATGGCAGAATTATTTTTTGTACGCTAATAAATAGGTGTGCTATGATTTATTCAAATTATTTACCAGGTGTTTTTGTACGATATTTACAAGAAGTAATTTAAATAAAATTATATAGACTTCAATTATAAGTGAATCGTTTGTTTCGATAAAATATTCTGCGGCGGAGCAACCGAAGTATTACCATATGTAATTACACATCGAGGCATTTATAAATAAACATTGTGCATGGGAAAAATGATGAAAACCACAATTTCCTCTCTAATATCCGTTGTAGCAAACTAAAACCGAAGCGTACATCAAGCGAATCACTTTTTAATAACCATTGAAAAAATGAGACCGATTAGTTTCATAATTACGCTATTCGTAATTTGTGCATCCGTCAATACAAACAAAGCCGGTGAGTACACAATATTTACTCTCAAATTCATTTAAACAAACGCTTATTTTAGGACTCTACGAGTCATGTCGCACGCCAAACGGGAAACCAGCCATTTGCACGCCATTGCCTCAATGCAGGCGTTTGTTAACCGTCATCCGTGAAAGAGAACGAATGCCTCCATCCCGGCTGAAATTCGTAAGAGACTCCCAATGCGGATGGTACCGAACCCAATTAGTCTGCTGCGGCGACGACGACGATTACGAAACCAAAAATGCTTATGTTAAAAACGCCTCCGAATCCGACCAAGATCAATGCGAATGCGGTTATCAGGTATGATGAATCATAGATTAAGTAACCATAAAACCTGATTGAACGATTCTTCAATATTCTCGCATATACGCATTAAAAATGAAACGTATTATTCGTAATAGAAATTTAATAGGTACTTATTTTGCGATATAGGATCTCGGAAATAACAAAGTGTCCGGTGGACAGGCGACCGATATAAAAGAATTTCCATGGATGGCTCAAATAGGTTATGCGAATAATTTTAGAGGTCGCACGATTTGGGCGTGCGGAGGAACTCTAATTAGCCCTCAGCACGTTCTAACGGCTGCTCATTGCGTGGCCGGGGAGGCTTTGAGAGTACTAGGACTTCCGTAAGTCATTAAGTATTATTATGTATATAATATCCTCAACAGTTTCCTTTCAGAACAACTGTAAAATTAAGCGAATACAACACAGATACTGAAGTTGATTACTATCGAGGTATCCGCAAGAAGTACGTGCTAATCGGTGTAGAAAAAATCATTCCTCATGAGAAATACGACATCGATGATCCTATTAGTGCTAATGATATTGCTGTACTCAAACTGAATAAGAAGGTTACTTGTTCCGGTAAGGAAATATTGGTATACGTTTACAATTTCATCTCTCCAATGTACCTTTTCAGATTTTATTAGGCCTATTTGTTTGCCGGATCCGAACGACGTTCCCCAAAAAGGCGACAGATTGACCGTGGCCGGTTGGGGATTGACCGAAACAAACAGAATTTCCAACTTACTGTTGAAAGTTAGCATGCCGTTAGTCGAGCAGAAACGTTGTCGAAAGCAGTATTGGAGGCAGGGTGTTAACCTGATCGATTCTCAAATATGCGCCGGCGGTGAGGAAATAAAAGACTCTTGCAAAGGTAGTAAAATTCGGTAATCTAATAGCGAATCGATAAAAAGAACGTCCGATTTGCAGGCGATAGCGGCGGGCCTTTAATGAGATTAACTATAACACCGCCTGATGATATTCGCTGGCGTCAAGAAGGGATCGTTTCTTACGGTCATGAACATTGCGGCACACGAAATTTTCCTGCTGTGTATACCAAAGTGGTGGATTTCCTTCCTTGGATAGAAAACGTAATCAAAAATTGAATGTTGATTCAGTAAATTGATGTTAAAGTGGCATATCAAAAATAATAATTATTGTATTTATCGTTATTTCAAATTCTGTAAATCATGAATTAATTTGGAACGTTTAAAACGAATATACTAATTTTACAAATGTTACAATTGAATAAAATAACAGGATTTCGATATTTGTTTAGTTGGTTTAAAATTGAAATTGCATTTTTTTGGTAAATTCGTTTCATAATATTCAAGTGTAATTTACGGTTATTTCGAGGTCACTAGGTCAGAAAAAAGGAAAACAGAATTTTATGTTTCAATTTAGCCAAGCCGGCACTCTACTTGATGGGACCATAAACATTTATCAACTTCGACGGACGTTTTATTCGAAATGGATTTTTTTCGTAATAAACGGCTAAAATATATCAAAAACTTCCGAAATTTGCTTGAGAATAACTCCGAATTTTATTGCGTCTTTCAGATCCACTGTATAGCCCGAGCATAAAAAGGATTTATTATTTTTTTCCGGCCAAAAACCAATTAAACCGAAAATAAAACATTTTTTTCGCGTAAAAAATATCAGATTTTAAAAACCGTAACCTATCTGTTTAACGAAATAAAAACTTTTATCAAACGTCAATTTTTCCGCGGCCTCGCCGGTATTCCCTGCGGGCCGCAGAGATCGCAACGTTTTTGAATTTGCCATGAGAACTAATGGATGAGTTTTACATTCGCTTAAGGAAAGTTTTCGGGAATATCGGAAACGGATTTTCGCTAAACGGCGCGGGAAAAGGGAAAAATCTGTCCGCGATTTCCGCATGTTTGATGTACCTTTATGCTGTTTAGCTAACAAATTTCTCGCCACCTTTCGGGAATTCCACTCATTATGGAATTCGATGAAAATTTTGTCGAGTCCAGGGTAATGTATGAATCCAATTATTCATGCGCTACTGCTGCTAGTAATACGCAGCTTATTATTTAAAAGAACGACAAATTACAAATTATGCATTCATTCGTGCGAGGGAAATGTGAAAGCATCGATATACGGTTATTAAATTTTCAACAATAATCACCTATCGGACGAGCGTAAACATGTATCTATGTAATTTTATAATTAACATCGAATTTTAAGGGGTATTTCAAAATGCATTCCTACAACGAAACAACTGTAAATTTGCAACAGTAACTACATAACTGCTTGAATGATTAGATTTTTTTTCCAAAAATAACTTCTTACAAATTAAATTTTAATAGGTGTACACATTGTTCTTCTTTTTTACTCAACGAAAAAAAAACAATTTACTTAGTAATTTTACTACTCACTTTTACAGTTCGTTATAAAATTTTGTAAGAATTCTGCACCGAAGTTATACAAGCTAAAATTCGGCGTCTCAAGTTTTTACGAATCTGAATAATTAAAAAATAGTTCGAGCGGAAAGTTATTAAAAATTGGCTCCATCGAATTAAACGCGAGTCGGAATTTACGACGAAAGTTCTTACACGGAAAAAACACAATAACTATAAAAAAAATCGAGGGAAGTGTCGATGGAGTAGTTTGAGAAAGTCAAAAAAACAATCTTTTGTAAATTAAAGGAGCCAAACTCGGAGCCAACGTGCTGCGAATTACTAAATTGTTTCGGGGCATCGAAATTTTAATTAATACATACGAAATCGACTTCCAACAGCCCCGAAGAAATAAAACCTCCGCAAAATCCGAAATTATGCCATACTGATAAGGATTGCGAGATGATCTGCATAATTAGAATGTATAAGTAAATGTCAAGGGTGAGGGGTCTCTAACTAACTCGTTCTCCAATTTGCATAAATTCCAAAAGCCAATACATATTTCCGACCGAGGTATGGGCAAAAGGTGGTAAATTGAGGTAACGTTAGGATCGCATAATGTATTCCGAAAACGGGCAATCGCTTAATTTAATTTAAAATATTGATGGAAAATATTTTCATTAAAATTGCCAAAATTAGAATTTAAAATTAAGTGAAATTTACCAAAACCACGATTTAATAAGATTTCATCGATTAAAATTAATATATTGATATAACCAGATTTGTTCTATCTACTTTTGGAAGAAATATATTTCGCGTTGTTGCCGCTGCGATAAAAAAATCCTAAATATAAATATTTCCAACTCGTACCATTTAATTTCTGCTATACATAGGCTCCTGACAAATTCCGAGTCAACTGTGTATAGTTGAATCGGAGAGTCATCGAATCAACAATCGCACTTATTACGATATATGCGACAGTAACAGAGGGTTGATTTGTGCGAATATCAGATGACAAATATTCGCAATTACACCTGTCTACGCCGATGTTGAAATTCATACTGGATACACACATTCGATGGTGAATGGATTGAAATGCTAATTACGCGCCGCGTCCTCGATGAGCCTAGTTGTTCTTATTTAACGACGAACGGCGATGGGGAAACGCGAATCGGGACGGATGGAAATGTTTTTCCAACCGGAAGGAATTGTTTGTTTAGGTATTGCAGGGTATTAAAGAACCGATTTCATTACTCCCTGAACTAATTAGAGAGTTCACTCTGTCGGAGTGAAATTGCAGATTTAAGGAGCGACTATGGAACGATGATAAAGGAGTTGGAAATATAATGGCGAGTAAAATGGTGCAGTGGTTGCGTTTTTATATGAAACAATTTCAATGAGTAAAACTATTTGGCGACTAGATATAGGAATTTCTATCTAATTTTACCGCGTTGTTTGGCCTTTCAGTTTTAAGTCCGACTGCAACGAAATTCCGCAGCAAACGCAACAGGAATACAAAGTTCGGCGGTCGTAATTTCGTCTTTTACTCTACACATCTCCCATTTGCATGCATATTTTAAAACCCTCATAAGCCTTCGCCGGCGAAGACGAGCCATTTTCTTATTTCGCATACACATTTCGAATTTCGAGACGCGCCGCAAACTCTTCTCTCTTTTCCATTAACAAGGTGAAAAACATATTTCACTTGCTTAGCTTATTTCGAGAGATCTATTTTACAAACAATGGAATTTTCTAACATATTATGTAGCGTTTTGCTCGTTACAAGTTTCTATTAGAATATAAAACGCTGAAACATAATTTAACTTCCTTTTATTACGTTGGAGATAGAAAATTACTAGTAATTTAGAAATCTACTTGTAAGTCGATAAATTTCTATATACACCTTATTTTCAAAGAGAATATAAATTTATAGAATAGCACGACATCTTTTGAAGTCTATAATAAGCATTAATTTGTTAATAAATAAATTGTAAAAGGAATTATAAAGTATCTAATTTCATTTTGATTCGTTAAAATAACAGTTATAAAATTGATTGATATAATTTTAAATGTATATCTACTATTACTTTATAATCGATAAGCAAAGATATTTAGGTGAAAAATAAATTAATAATAAAAAGCCATTATTTTTGAACTAAACGATCGCATTTTCATCATTTTGAAAATTCGTAAAACTTTCAATATTTATTAAAAATGCCACCAGTAAGTCGTTCTCTCTGCCATAAGTTAAATCAACGTGACTGCGCCGTTTATTTTACACCAAATCCTCCTAATCCTAAATATTAGAGCGAACGGCACGTTAATCCGCCTCGGCGAGCGTGGTTTTTCATAATTTCGGAAAACGAACATGACAGACCTCGATTTAAAAACAAATCGAATCCGTCGCAAAAGAAATCGAGTCTAACGCTGAATAATGAGGAATAATGCGGACTATCTCCGTTATCCGATGGCGAGAGGGCGGCAAAAACCCCGACACCCGGCCCAGATTTTTTACTGTTTCGTCGGAAATCTTTTGTTATTACGTTGTAACGTTTTTATTAAGCGTTTGTGTGGATTTTCTCGGCAGTTTTTTTTTTACCTAAATGCAGATAAATACCTCGAGTTAAGGAGTGCTACTTTCGTCGACAGTGACGAAGTAGGTTTTTATTTTTACGATGGATTTCATGCTCCAAGAACGATAAAAAAGTTACTTTGTAAGACCAAGTTTAATTAACTAAGTACTTTCTTACTCTGCGGATCTAATACAAATGTCTATGTACAGTAACACCCCCCTGTATACAAATTCGTAATACATAATTATCCCGTTGTTGCTATATTACGTACATCACTCCATATGCGACCCTCCAATTGAGCTACATGTATCAAGTCCTCAGATCTTCAATTTACCATAATATCGATGAGGGGTCTTTATCATCGAAATCCAGTCCCGCACTTTCGTTGTAATAACTTCCCTAATAACCCCGACGTGCGTTTAACGGTAGTTGTTAACAAACTCCCTCGTAAGGAGAGGAACATGAAAGAGAGAACCGCCCAGCGCAGCAGGACCACCCGCTTGGACCCGAACAACAACCCCTTTTTGAACTCCCGACGTCATCAACTCATCCTTTCGTGAAACTCGAAACTGTTTTTAGTTTGAATTTAACACAGAAATGGCCGCTCGAGAAATGCTAATAAGGAAATTTGTTAAATACAGGGCAATCCATTAGTGGAACAACGTATTAAAGCTTTGAGAAAAACATGAGGAAATAAGTTCCTTATAAATTACATAGTAGCATAGTTTTGTAAAAAAAATAAACGGGTCAATCAGTAACGGTTTAACTTTATATCTTTGAGCTAAATTGCAAGAGAAACTTTTACGACGTACTTTTAATTGAATAGAGATTAGAGAGTGCTTGTAAAACGTGGTTTTTTTGTGGCCTATTCAATTCGGGGTGTATACGCCTCGCGACATAAAGAGGTATTCCGAATCGACGCTGCTGTAAAACGGGGAATTTAGCCCAGAAACCGACTTTCATTACGAAATTTTATACGTCGGAGGCCCTAACGAAATTCCTGTGTATTGAACTGAAAGGGCGACCCCCCACAAAAGAGGGAAAGACTAATTCAAAAGTGGTATAGGCTCAATTTCGGCTCGAAAGAAAATCGTAAAATTCGAGCTAAGTATTTCGTTTGCCTTCAAAATGAACTCTTTGGAAATAACGTCATTATCATTATAAATTAAAGTTATTAAACTCTCATTGAAACGAGCGAATCCCCAAACAAATTTTTAATCGCATATTAGCAGGGATGTTATTCACGGCACGCATCATTCACATAGCATTTTACTTAAAACACTTTAAATTTATCCATTTGTCTGGATTCTCACGCAACG